GCCCTGATGTTCCTGACGCTGCTCTGCGTGGCCTTGCTGGGTGAGCCTGGCTCCGTGGGCGTGGGGGCTGTCCCCTCTCCTGCCACTGCACCTCTGCCCTTCTCCCTGTCCCCCCATTCTGCCCCCCTTTCCTCCGTGCTCACCCCCGCCCTTCGCACCGTCGCCACTGTCCCTTCACCTCCTGTCCGTGACTCTTTCCTGCAGAGCAGCTGGTTATTTACCAGGTCGGTGTCATCCCCAGCCAGTACTATGAAGTCCTAGGGAACAGGGACTTCTCCGGGTTCAAAACGCTGACTGCCGTTGCCCTGACTCTGATCGTGGTGAACTCCACGGTAAGATGGGCGAGAGGCTCCTGTGCCTTGTTAAGGGAAGGGAACGCTCCCCATGGCTCCCAGCACGATCATGGGGGTCAAGGATCTAGGCATGCCCTTCCCCTGTTAGATAGCTACATGTGGGATGGATCACTGGTACAAACTCTTAGTTTTCATTTTATTTTGGGGAATACTTGTTCTCCTCACTTATCTCTTCCCATCTGTCTCCTTGCCCTTGTTCCAGCTAAAAAGCTTCGACCAATTTATCTGCAACATGATGTACGTAAGCTGGAGGAAGTCCCTCACCGAATACCTCCACAGCTGCTACTTCCAAGGCCAGGTCTACTACAACCTGCACGTGCTGCACGAGGACATCGATAACCCGTAGGCTGCCTGTGGCTTCTCTCACCCTCTTGCTTGGCTTCTCCTGGGCTACTCTGCACTTTTGCTTGACTTCTCTGTGTAGGGGCTTGAACCCTAGAAGTGTTTACCATCTAGGCATGAATACCATCTTCTGCCCTGGGTGGGAAGTGGTACCTGTTGCTGGGAACTCCCATAGCTGCTGGTCATGACGGTTTTAGAAGCAGGATGTTTCTGTTGCAAGGAAGATGGAGGCCCAGCAGAAAAGGGCTCTAGTTCTGCTATAAAATGTGCTATCTGCAAATCCAACCCTTGATACTGAGTGTGACATTGCAAAGGGGCTGGCTGGAGTCAGAGAGCGCTGTCTCTCCCTGCCTCCATGTAGCCTTCAATCTTGTTCTGCTTGAACTTCAGCCACCAGAGTCTCCAGCTGAACAGTTTTATTTATCTGGGTTTTTAGTAGATTTGATAACCCAGGGGAGCCACTTCCAGGAGGAGCCTTGTTTTGGCTGTATGAAGGCTGCACTTCCCCTTTCCTGTTCCTAGGAAGGAAATGTCAGGGATGACTTGAAATACAAGAGGAGCATTCAGCCGCTCCTTGCTTATCCCAGCCCACCCCGAGATCCCCTTCCAGTTCCAGTTTGCATTATGCCTTGTCCTGCTTACTGCAGAGCTGCTGGTCTTCCCAGGCTATGCAGCGAAGGTCAAACACCTCTCTGCCTGCTGACCCTGGCCTCCCAGCCTGCCCGTGCACACAGGACACTGCTGTCGTAGTTACGCACTTTGAAGTGCTAAGGATCCTACATTAGACATCATGTGAGAGGTAGAAGCTTTGTTTTTTTCCTCCAGAATTTAATGAAGTTATTACTAAATACTTGCTGACAAACCAGAAACCAGGGGGTAACTTCTTCCAAATTGTGTGGCTTTAAACAGTTATTTTGAGACCCCAAGCTTCAAGGCTCCCCTGGAGGGGGCACCTCTCGTCTCGTCACTTCACTGGTGCCATCTTCCACGTTGATGACGCCAGAGGAGATCAAGCCTAGGGTCCCTGTGAGAACTGTCTGATGTGCAGGGACTCCTAACTTGCTTATGGTGGTGACCTCAAGGCACTGAAGCAGCCTCTGTGCTTCTGCTGCCCAGTGCTCCTGACTCCCTGTCCTTTTGCCCTGTATTGCACAGCAAGGTGATCCGTGTGGCTGCATGGTGAAATTGTACTGGGTATCTCAGATGTCTTTTTGTCTGTCTGTTTTTCAGCCAGACCTGTTTGCTGGCTGCTTCTGCTGTCCCAGTGCTAGTAGGAGTACAACCCAAGTAAGAGCAGCCAGCTGTGTGCAGGGAGAGCAGCAAGCAAGTAAGGGGCTTAGCTTGGGCCAAACAGCCCTACTGCCAAACATGAAATCACAGCTTCATCATGCTGATGCACTTTCCAGCCACTGTCAAGGTTACTCCCACCTCACCCCTTCAGAGGCATGGAGTTGCAAGAAGAGGTTAAAAGCCATGCCTGTCACTAAGGCATGCAGCACTTCCCAGGCAGTGTAGCACATTGGCCATGGCCAGAAGCTCCCGCTTGCCTATCTTTTCCTTTGCAGGGAGGGGGAAGAGAAGGACAGAGGCCCCTCACCACATGGCTGTTCTGGTCAGGTTTATTTTTATCCAGGGAATGTGTTCACATTGTGCAGTGAAAAGTATGAGATGACTGGGTCAGTCTGCTCCGTAGTGACAGCCAGGTCTCCTGACCTTAGCAGACCAAATGTGTAGGGTTGCTGTGGAGTGTTCTTCATTACCACCTTCTGCTCAAACATCTAGTCTTACTGTTCGGTGTCTTTTTTGGTGCCAGTAAAAAAATTGTCTTTATTTTGCAGTTCCTCAGTGAGAATTTTTTCCCTGCACTGGGTACTTGGAGAATGAGCTAGAGGGACGAAGTGATCTCCCAATATGCAATGCAAACCAAACTGTGTCAGATGCGTGTTATCATCCATCTAGAAGGAATGCAGAGGGGGTTGGGTGGCATACAAACACTGGTGGTTCTTACCAGGGCATTTGAGTTGCTGTTTATGCGTTATCATTACATGTTGCTTAATAGCTCATAAAAAGCAATATCCTGCCTTGAGTCCACAGCATGACTTAAATTATAACTTTATGGGAACAATTACAGGCTGAGGAGTAGGAAGAACAATGACTGTAAGGTCAGTCAGAGTGAGAGCTGCCCCAAAATTGAATCCATTGCTCTTCCAGGACTGCAAAGGAGTTGAGAGATCAGTGTCCTTGTGGTTGTATCTGCATTGATGGCTAAGCAGGAGTCCAGCCTTTCTCTTTAGTCCGGACTCCAGCATCCACAGTCACAGCCTTTCCACCTGTGCTTAATGCAGCAGACTGAAGCCCTCATCCAGGTGCTCTGGACAGATGAGGCGCTGAGGGAGTAAATACGCTGAAATCCTTTCTAGTTACCCCAGGTGCAGCTCCTGGTCAGCAGTGGGATGGATGGGGCTTGAGGGTCTGTTACCCACGTGCCTGCCACTGCTGGGGCGAGGAAGCTCGGTGTGCTGCTTCCTGCTCTTGTGGCATGGAGGGGAGTGGAAGCACTTTCTTCCCTGCAGCAGAGGGACCAGAGGGCATTCCATGCAGAGTGAAAGGACCAGCTACTGTGGAAGGGTGGCTTTGATGGAAGAGTTTGCGAATAACCAACAGCTGGTAAAGGTCTGGCCTGTGCACTAGCCAGTCTCAGTAGCTCTGGTGCCTGAGATGCAGCAGCCATACTGAAGCTCTGGGGGAGAATCAGTAGTTTTTGGTAGTATGGAGTGGGTCCAGGAGAGGATGAGAGGACAAGTGCAGAGCCTTTAGCGCAGAGTTGGGCAATGTTGTTGGAAGTGGAACAAAGGGATAACACAACGACCACAGTAAAAATAACAGCAGTAGCCATTCTTCCTGGGTGCAAAACCTGCTGGGCCATGGGAATTGTGTCCTGTGGGGGAACAGGAGTCATAGATGCAGGTCCCTCCCAGGCAGGGCTGTTCACCTGCACCCGGTCCTAAGTTGAGGCAGTGGAACAGCCTGGCTTGTCTCCTGTTAGGCACAGTACTGGTTCTGGCTCCTGGGCTTTAACAGTGTCAATGGCTATTGGTGTTGAGCAGGGACCAGCGCATCAGCCAGGATGTGGAGAGGTTCTGCAGGCAGCTCAGCTCCATGGCCAGCAAGCTCATCATCTCACCCTTCACACTGGCCTACTACACATATCAGTGCTTCTGCAGGTAAGGACCTGTCTATTTTGGAGCCTGGCACTCACGTTACAACTCCCCAGACAGGTGCTTATACATGTGGGTGAGTGGTCTCTGCACTCCAAAGGGAATTCTGCCTCGGGGATGCTCTGATGTGTAATGCTGGTCCCCAAACCTCTGTGAAAGCCAAGAGAGGTGGCACTTGAGGGCTCTGACTGCTTAGCCTGAGGGTGCTGGGGTGTCCTTTCACTTGTACTGTTAGCTGACCTCTCTTTCTCCTCCTCTTTAGCACAGGCTGGCTAGGCCCAGTGAGCATCTTTGGGTATTTCATCATTGGAACAATCATCAACAAGGTATTGATGAGCCCAATTGTGTCTAAACTTGTGCAGCAGGAAAAACTGGAAGGAGATTTCAGGTGAGTCCTAGCAGGCCGGGTTTCACTGCCTCTTGGCAGCTCCAGCCAAAACTGCATTTTTATCCCTGTTCAGTGCTACGTACACAGCTACTTCTCTTGTCCATGACTTTTCCTGCACACAGAGAAACCTGCCTGTGCAATGCTGCCTCAAAGTCTATGTACTGAGCCTTCACCACCTCTTACACTGTCCTGTGCAGTGGCAGGCAGTGCCTTTGGTTCAGTTTCCAGGCTGCTTGCCTGGTCATTGCTGATGCCTCTGCCAAGGCATTAGATGTGCTGAAAACCGCACATGGAACTTCCTTGAGTGCAGATGGGAGTTCAGTAAACTGCATCCACTGACCAAAATCAGGTTTCTACTTCACCACCATCTTCATGAAGTGCAGAGAACAGTACAGTCTTTACATATGCTTTGTAGCTCATCTCCTCCCCTTCCCCTGCAGGGTTGCCTGGGTGTGTGGCAGGGGCTTTGCAGCTTTCCTGGGGGTGAAGGATATCTAGGGACAGCAGCAGAAGCTGTTGTGGCACAGGGAGCCCAGACCAGGGCATTGGTTGTGGTGATTATGGTGGAGGTGCCGGGCTAGCAAATAGAAGGCCCAAGGTCTGACAAAATGTGCACAGAGAGCAGAATACCAAACAAACGTGTCACTGAGCTGACCCAGAATGATGTCACCTTGTGTTAAGTCTTGATCTCTGGTGCCTTTCTGAGCCTATTGTGTATTTCTGTCAAGAGATGCCTCACGTCAGTGCTCTGACAGATGCAATATGAGTTTCCTGTAGCAAGCATGTTGGCTACATAATTCACTGGTTGTTTGTGCACTGGGCGTTGTGCTGATGATGGTTTTTTGGTTTGTCCAGGTTCAAGCACATGCAGCTTCGTGTCAATGCAGAACCAGCTGCATTCTACAGGTTAGTAGCGTTTGTTTCTTTACATCCTCGTAAGGATCCTACAAGCTAGGGGCATCCTTGTTTCATTCATACATCCCAGAGGAGTCCAAGTCCAGTTGCTGCAGCTGGAGCTTTCTGTGCCCTCCATCGTGCTGCAGTGTCATACAGCCCTGACACTGTTCTCCTTTGCATTCTGCACATCATCTGCAGGAATACTCCACAGCAGCTGCAGACAACTGTTTTTTCTCTGCCTCCCTTCTAACATCCCCAGAGGCCTGATAAAGATTCAGTGCTAGCTTAGGGACCATTATTGATATTTTGCCAGGTCCTTACCTGGAAGATTCCTCCATGTCTCATTGTATCTTGTCAGGATGTTCCCCTGGGGACTTGCTGCAGTTTGTTTCTGGCCCCGTCCCACTGCTGCTAACCTGTGTGTCTTCTGTGGGTGTGTTCTAGCTGTTGCCTGGCCTTCTTACCTCTGCTTGCTCCTCTGGGTCAGCCTGTGCCCTCACCCACCAAAGCTCTTCTGCCGCTCTCTGAATTTGCTCAGTGCCATTTATCCCAGAGCTGAGCACAAAGTCGGGAGCCTGGCAGCACCCCCTCCCTTAGTGATGCCCTGAAGTCTGCTGAGCTGCTGCTTGGAGCTTTTGAGGCATCTCACAGAAATGGCTAGAGCTGAGGAAAAGGGCCATGATTGTATTGTAGCTTGTTTGGGGTGCCTGGTAGGTGGGTGGAGGTCATTGCTCCTTTCTTACCACGTGCCTGCCTTTGCCCTACACCTTGTGAAATCATGCTTCTTCCAGGAATTTAAGCTAAGAGCTGCTATCCTGTCTCTCTTCTTCTCTGCCTGTGACCTGTATTTAGCTCTTTCATGCTGTAATGACTGAGCGTTTTGAGGTTGTGGTCCAGTCCCCAAAGCTGTTTGTTTCAATATCTCTGATTCATAAAGATTTATATTGATAGGCATGAAACTCCGATTTAAATAACTGAAATCAATCTTGGTTTGCACTGGCAATTTTGGGTTATTTCTTTGTGGACTGGTTGATACTTATTGACTGATGATTGTCTTAATGGAGGAGATGCTCTAATTACATGCTCTTATTTAAGCTGTAGTACTTTACCTCACAATTTTGAAGTTTTTTTAATTTGTTACTAAGTAGAAAATGGAGAGTGAATTATTATACCAGAGAATGCAGTGGCTTATTTCAGTACGGTTCCTTGGTAGGAACGTTTCGCTTAGTGGGAAACTAGGATTGAATTGAATTGAATTGAATTGCACAAACCCAAGGCATTTTCATGGTATGAATCTTAATTATAAATAAGGGAATTTTTTAAATAGTTCCATTCCTAGAATCCTGCAAGAGAAAGGAGCATGTGGCAAGTGCCTGGTTTTGATTGCCAGACTTCTCTAGCTTGTAGAAGCTGTTAGATCTTGTCCTCTTGCAGGTGCTTAACCATTGTTTCAGTAAGGGAAGAAACAAAACCTGAGCACTGTCACTTTTTTAATCCCTTGGTTTCTAAGCCTTTGGCCAACTTGCTTTAAAAGTGAACTCAGTGGGAGGAAAAGCTGAAACTAATACAGCAATCTCTCCTCTCTAAAGAAATAATAGCTGTGATCCCCAGTGCCGTCCTTACCTTTAACTCCTGTGTCCAAGGCTTTGTCCTTTCTGGATCCTCAGCAGCAAAGGCCGCAGCTCGGTAGCTACCTGAGATGGATTGTAGGGCAGTAATGCCAAACGGAATTCTAACCAGATGTATTTTTGAGAAAGAAAATGTATTTTTCTAAGAACCGAGAATCTTTAGAACAGAGATTCTTCAAAAATTTGGATCTGTTTTTAATTTTTTGCGCACCTCCCAGCCGCAGCGCTTTCCTCGCGCGTGGAGCAGGGTGGGCGGCTGGGCGTGTGCTGGGGGCCAGGTGGGAGTCCTGAGCGAGATGTGGAGCGTTCGCTGCGCTTTGCCACCTGAGGGCAGCCCAGGCTTTGCAAAGGAGGAGAGGGAGCTGCCAGGCATGCTGAAGGTGGTGGTTTAGAGCTGAGGTAATGCTGCTGGCTGAGCCTGGCCATGAGAGTTACCACTGCTAGCTCGGGTGGTGGGCAACCCCCTGATGCCCGTGGAGATACCCCTGGGGAAGGGAGGGCGGTGGGGCTGGGGTCATCTGCACTGGGGCTGCACTGCCCCGGGCTTGTCCGAGTCCCACTCCTCCAGCGTCGGGAACGGGAAGAGCCTTAGGCAGGGTGCCAGACGTGAAGGTGATGTTGGCCTGCTGTCAGCCTCCTGGACTCGACTCTGCCCTCTCCTTTCTGCCTTCAGCTGTGTAGTGGTGCCTCTTCTCTCTTCCAGCTAGGCTCTGCTTGGAACATATGTGTGATCTTAGGTTTGCATTGCTCCAGGCTTGGGCCTTGCTAATGGTGTCTTGCCTTGCCTCACCTCCTTATGTATGCAACAGCAGCATCCATGGGCTCTGGGAGAGATTTTCAGGGCTGCTTGTTTCAGCTAGAGTTTCTTGGTGAAGCTCTTCAGGAAGGCGCTCTTGACTGTTCAGTTCCTGCTCAACAAAGAGCTTGTTACTTGGAAGCTAAGGTGCCAGACCCTTTCCAAGCCTCAGTCCTAAAGCCTGTGCTTTGACCTCATTGTGGTGCTCCCAGGACGCCTGTGACATGCTGCAGTCTTACTTTACAGGGCCGGGCGAGTGGAGCACATGCGCACGAACCAGAGGCTGCAGAGCCTGCTACAGACCCAGAAGGAGCTGATAGGCAAGGAGCTGTGGCTATACAGTGAGTGGGGATGGGGGGTGTGTGGAGTGGGGTGTGCGGTAGCTCCATTGTGGTGGCCCACAGGCTTGGGAACCCTAATACTAGAGCACCAGTGCTGGGTTTTCCTCTACTGACTCGTCCTGGTGCATGAAAGCCCTGAATGTGAACAGAGGATGTCTCCTGCAGTCCTAAATGAGAAAGCCTTGCCGAGAGCAAAATTGTGGAGGACCCAGCTAAGTCAGAGAACACAAGCCCCAAAAGGGGAATCTGCAGTCATCTGTGCTTTTTGTGGGACAGGTGTTCAATGGCCAGGAAGAGATGGAAGGGCTTGAGCTTTGGGGAAGGTGAAGACTCTGTATATGTAGTTGTTAGCTGTGGAAACTTCTTACCTATTGAGCCTGTCCCTTGAGCATAGTTGTCCTCTGAAGGTCTGCTTTCTCCCATTGTCACTAGCTATGGGTTTGGGTATTAAATGACCAATATCAAGACAGATCTTCCTCATCTCACCCCCATAGTGAACTTGTGAGCAGTGTAAAGAAGGGAGAGACCTGAATGCAAGAGTGTCTGTGGGAATTTGGGGTCTTAATTTCTGCCAGTCCTGTGCTCCATGACAGACTTTGTGGCCAACCATCTCACACCAGAGTTTTCCTTTTTGTCCTCCCTCCTGTTTCTTGTGAGTCAGCTGGGCCCCTAAAGAGTAGAAACAAGCAGGAAAAGTGGCCTTTGTCCTGTGGTGGTGCTTGAGCTGTGTTTCTAGATAGTGCTCAGGGACCTGTCCCAAAGTGCTTTTTGCCTGGCAAATTGATTTTCACCCTGGTGCTTGTGCTGTCCTCTGAAATGTGTTCTGCTCTGGTGCATCACGAAGGGTTGAGGCAAAACCATGGGTCTTCCTTGGACTGGGCTCATGGGCTGCACTCGAGCCTGTCTGGGGGAGGAGTTCCCACCCTAACTCACTCTCTTCTCTCAATGTGTTTCTGCTCAGTTGGAATCAACACTTTTGACTACTTGGGCAGCATCCTGAGCTATGTGGTCATTGCCATTCCCATCTTTTCTGGGGTCTACAGTGACCTGAGTCCAGCGGAGCTCAGTGCCCTTGTCAGCAAGGTGAGCTAAGGGTGATCTCCCAGACCCTGTTGTGGAGTGTGAGCTGGCACTGAGGATGGAGGTTTCACGTGGGGCTGGTGGCATTGGGGCTCGATAACCCGCAGCAGCTGACCTTCAGGTTAGACTGACCCTTCCCATGGTGGCACAGAAATGGGAGCTTGGAGCCAGCTGGTGTATGATTAACCTGGGGGTGAGAGCTGTCAAGGACACATCTACATAAGTGTTTCCTAGCACAGGCCTCTGTGTCTAAACAAACCATGAGGTCAGAAAGCCTCTGGCTTTCATCAGTGTGGGTGGGATTGGGTCTGCACAGCACTGCAGGTCCAGCTGCGCCATGGGCTGCTGCCTGTGGTGAGCCTGGCCACCTGTGAGGCTGAGCTGGCTTGTATTCACCTTCCTGACCTCACTCATTCCCAGATATTCAAAAATGGCTTGTGATAGAGAATGCAGAACTAAAAATAGCTAGGTGGATGCTGCGGACCGAGATGCCCTGCTCTGAGCCATGTAAGGGTGCTGAGGCAGGGCTGGTGCCACAGATGTGCGCAGCTTCGACGGGGCAAGCGTGCTGGGCCCAGCACTGGCCAGCAGGCACTCTGCAAATACCATCCCTGGGTGGCAGGTGTGTCCATCAAGCAAAACCCACCGTACTGAGCAGAGAAGCCCTGCTCCATCCAAATATGGTCAGCTTCTCCTTCACTTCCACCACTGTTGTGGTGAGCAGAGCCCGCCTTAGGCAGGGATCGGTGTGCGGAAGATCCCACGATGTAACGGAAAGCTCAGACTGCCCACGAGGGGCCTTGTGGCCGTGGCTTGTCCTAGATAAGCAATTGCAGCGATGCAATAAACGCCATTTGCAACATCCTTCACATTGAAACCAGTGTCTGTGATGGTACCCAACGGCAGAGGTTGGGTGGCAGCTATCCCGGGGATCGGGTGTCGGTAACAACACACCGCCCTGGGTGACTTCTCCACCCCTCCTCCCTCTTGCTGGGACTGCTGACATGGCCAGATGTCTGGAGTCCTCAGCTGCCTCCTTGCAGCCATGGAGGACTGGGCAGTGCCCCAGCTCAGTGCTGACCCTTGCTCTGGCATGTGATTTCTCTCCAGAATGCCTTTGTTTCCATCTACCTCATCAGTTGCTTCAGTCAGCTCATAGATCTCTCCAGCACCGTGACTGATGTAGCTGGCTACACACATAGGTGAGCTTCTCTGTGGGCAGGTCTCGTCAGGAAAGGAAAATGTGGGACAAGACTCTACCCAGGTCTGTGTTATGTAAATAAGAAACAGTTGCTTGTGAGCAAGCACAGACAAATTTGGGTATTGTGAGGAGTCTGCTGGAGTTGTCGGTGGCATTCACGCAACCTCTTGTTTGTCTAGGATTGGTGAACTGCAGGAGACCTTGCTGACCCTTGGCAGAAAAAAACCTGATAACTACTCAGAAGCCCAAGCCAGCTGGGATTTGGATGTGTGAGTCTCCTCTCAGCAACTGGCTGGCTTGCTCCGTACATGCCATAGTGTGGGGCTGCCATAGGATGGAGGTGGCCCTTGGTGTCACAGCCTGTTGCACACAGTTGGTGAGAGCAGGCAGTGCTTGCTGATTTGTCATTCCTGGGGCACGTGGGACCTGGCTGCTGTCACAGAGGCACAGGAGGTCTAAGGTGTCTGATCTTTGCCAGTCTCAGCATGATCACTTACCCCCAGATCTCTCCTTTATCTTGGTGGAGACCCAGCAGCCATTCTGCAGAGGACCCAGTGCCAAAGGACACAGCTTTCATTCTGGAGCACGTGACGCTCTCGGTGCCATCCTCTGGCAAGCTGCTCATCAAGGACTTGAGCCTCAGGATCTCACAAGGAAACAGTGTGATGATTGTGGGGAACACTGGCACAGGGAAGACATCACTCCTGAGGGTCCTTGGGGGACTCTGGGAGAGCACGTGGGGTAAGGACTGGTCCTCACTTCAGCCTTCTGTTTCTCAGCCAGGGCGGCCCTGAGTTGGGAAGGTGGCATTGTGGGGTTGTGAGGCCGGTACCACCTTGTGATGGTGAACGTGTCACTGATGCATTGAAGCCACCCACCTCTCTTGCAGACTCTGCTCTGGCTCTCGTTGCTTTGCCCTGTGTTGCCAATACACCTTTTCTGGGATTTGTTGGCTACTTGACAGGGCAGGGCTGCGCAGGGGCCGGTGTGGAGGTGCCGGCTGGCGCCGCAGGCTCAGCGTGAGCGTGTGTCTCTCTCTCCAGGGAGTGTCAGGATGCTGACCTGCTTTGGCCCCCAGGGAGTGGTGTTCCTGCCGCAGCGGCCCTTCTTCACCGACGGAAGCCTGCGCGAGCAGGTGAGCCCCAGGGCTGCCTCTGCTCTGGCCCCAGCTGTGCTCCCAGCTGCGGCCATGCCCTGCCAAGCCATGTGCTCCAGAAAGGCCTGCAGGAGGAAGGATGCCTGTGGCTGCTCCTTCCCTTGTGCCTGAGTTCATGCCACTGCCATTGAGTCCCTGGTGGGCTGCATCCAGCTCCCTCTGACATGTCTTCTTTTGCTCCCTTAAACAGGTGATCTATCCCCTGAAGGAGATCTATCCAGTTTCAGGTGTGTGGAAATGCCCTAGAGCAATGAGCTATCCATGTAATGTCAGCTCTCTGTCCTGTACCCAGTGCAGCTTCTCCCCTACCATGCCCCATCAGGAGTGCTCATCTATCTTGCTTTTGTTGCTCTCTGTTTTTCTGTGGAAGATTTACCTTAGTGTAGCTTATGGCCAGCTCTGTGTTCCTTCCCTTTTGGGAGGGAACATGTTCCCTTGATAAGAACTTATCCTCTTCATGCAATGAAGACAGGCTGGCCATGCTCTGCATGATATGCTAGACGTGGTATATGTTGAGGCACCTTGCTGTTGGGATACATCTGTCTGTCTGGTACAGCCTGTCTTGGGGCAAACCATATTTGCCTTTATCTCATTTTCCATCCACCTCAATCGTTCACTGTTCCTCTGTCTTCAAGTGATGTTCCAGGGCCTTGCATGCTGTCGGAATACATGGATTGCTTCTCTCCCCAGTCCTCTTCCCAGGCTAGACCACATGCAGTCAGCTGCAGCTCAAATGATGTCCAGGTTTCTGCGTGAAGCAGTGTTACGTGCTGCTTTCAAATACTTGAGAGTCACAGTCTCGCAGAGAGTAACTGCAGCCATCAGCTTATCGCTCCAGCTCTTCAGCAGCTTTGGAGAGGTCCATGGCAGATGCACAGCCCTTCTGCTCAGCTTCCATTGCTGCTGACTGTACCAGCTCAAGTGTATGTTCTGCTCTACAGCTAGTTCACCCTGAGGTTTCTCCCATCCCACATAGGATCCTTTTGCTGGCTGTTATCTGAGCCCTGTTCCCTTGGCTCTGCTGCCCACAGCAAACTGTGGGCAGTCAGCCACAAGAAAGCCGCTGGTGGGCAGGGCCCTGGTGATTGAAGCCTTGATCCTTGTGTTCTGGCTGTGTCCGTCTGTAAATGCGGACTGAGCTGAGTCTCGGGTGTATCTGTGGAGCCCAGCTACCTCCTGTCTTGCTGCTCACAGGCATGGTTAGCTTTTTTAAGAAAGGTCAGTCTTTGGGAGCACTCTGTCAAAGCTCAGAACCTGATGCAGTTAAGCAGTCAAGTCAGCTATGCTGCACCTCAGGAGATCCTCCAGTCCTACTGACTCCTCCTTGCAGCTGTGGCCTCGGCACATGTTGCCTCTGCTTACACTTGGCTGCTTTCTCCCCTAGGGTCAATAGATGACGAGAGAATTGTGCGATTCCTGGAGCTGTCTGGGCTGGTGAGTCCCCTGGAGTGCTGCTGCCTTCTTTCCTGGTGCTGCCAGTAAGGGAATAAGGGCTGAAGTTTTGTGGTAGCACAGCATGACTGTGTGCCAGGGACATGACAGAATCACAGGATGTTAGGGGTTGGAAGGGGCCCCCAGAGATCAAGTCCAACCCCCCTGCCAGAGCAGGACCATCTAGTCTAGGGCAGGCACACAGGAATGCATCCAGACGAGTCTTAAAAGTCTCGAAGGCAGGAGACTCCACAACCTCCCTGGAGTTCCAGTGCTCTGCCACCCTTACAGTAAAGTTCTTCCTCATGTTGAGGTGGAACTTCCTGTGCTCCAGCTTGTGGCCATTGCCCCATGTCCTATTGCAGGGCATAAGTGAGAAGAGGTTGCCCCTTCCTTCCTGACACCCAGCCCTCGTATATTTTTACCCATTGAATAGATCCCCCCTTAGTCTTCTCTTCTCCAGACTAAGAAGCCCCAGGTCTCTCAGCCTCTCCTCATAAGGCAGGTGTTCCAGTCCCCCAGTCATCCTTGTAGCCCTCCGCTGGACTCTCTTGAGTAGATCTCTGTCCCTCTTGGAATGGGGAGCCCAGAACTGGACATGCGGGGACATTGTCTGCAGCTGGGACAGGACTGTCCATGGGACAGAGAAGGAGGGATATGGAGCTCCTTCAGCTCAACTGGGAAAAGAGAGTAGCTGTAAGGAGGTGATTATGCTCAGGGCTGGGGGCTGACAGGGTTGGGGTCTGTCTTCACAAGTCTGCTGTGCTCTCTGCAGACTGATTTGCTGGTGAGGGCTGGAGGACTAGACAAGCAAGTGGACTGGAACTGGTAAGGGAGCTCACCATATGTGTGATTTTAGGTGATCCCTCTGGGTGGGGAACACTTCTCAGCAGACATCTGTTGCTGCTGGACTTATGAACATGTGTCCAGCTGTGTCCTGTGGGAGGTGGCCAGTATACAGAAGAAAAGCCTTCATGCCTTAAGCATCAGTGCCACCAACTGCCAACCATGCTGATTTGCAGGCAGCTGACTGTGCACAGGGGTGCAGAGCTGGTCCCAGCATGGAGGTGGGCATGGGGGACACATGGGGGCATTTGGTGCTGGGGTCTCTGATACCAGCCAGCAACCATAAGCTCTTCAGCAAATAAGCCCTTTTTTGTTGAGAGAGATTTTGAATCTCGACCCTGTTGCAGGTATGACATCCTGTCACCAGGGGAGATGCAAAGGCTCTCGTTTGCACGGCTCTTCTACCTCCAGCCAAAATATGCAGGTGAGTGACTGTGAAAGAGAAGGGGGGAGGTGAGGAAAGGCAATGCCTTTGGTATAAAGAGAGGGTGGCACAGAGACAGCTCATAAAATCTCTTCTTTGCGAGGAACATGCTTCATCTTGGCTATGGTTTTAGCAGCATAGCACACAGAGTATTCAGGGGTGAAAACATCTGTGTGAGGGGTGGTAAATCAAGAGGCTATGTGTAGGACTTTTTCTTCTTTGGGAAATAGTGTTTAATGTTCTTGGTCCAGGACAGATGGTACGTGAAGAAACTTCCTCTCAGCATGCTCACATGTGGCCATGTAAAGAAGTGTGCATGCTAGGAGCGTGGCATCAGCTACCCTCTCAGGCTGTGCTGGATGCTCTAGGTGGGCCATTTTGGCTTTCACCGTGGTGGGTACGAGGCAGTGACTGGCAGCTGCTGAGGGAGAGGAATGAGGTGAACAGCACTGTTTGGCTGGATTCCAGGTCTTGGGGCAAGGGCAGTTTCCCCAGTTGACTGACATCAGCTGTGAGAGAGGAAAATCAGAGTCCTTAGGCTTCTCCTCACTTGCCTTCTGCAGATGCTCTTGCTGAACTCTGGTTAATATGTGAAATGTTCTTGGCAGTGGCTGCTCTTTTGCCTAGGGGGAGATGATTGGTTAGGAGAGGATTTGTGGGGCTTATGGCTTTTCTTTCAGTGCTGGATGAAGCCACCAGTGCCTTGACAGAAGAGGTGGAGCATGAACTGTACCGCCTGTGCCTTCAGCTGGGCATGACACTGATCAGCGTGGGACACAGGGCTAGCCTGGAAAAGGTGAGACGGGGCGACAGTGCTCCACACCGCTGGTGGTGGCAAGACAAGGGAGGTAGAGAGGGTCCCTGGTGAGCACAGGGGAATCACTGAGGCTGGAGGGCCTCACTGTGTGAGGACATGCCCTCATAGAGACATCTCTCTGTTGTCATGTCATTGAATTTCAGTTTCACAGCTGGATTTTGAAACTTCATGGGGAGGGAAGATGGGAACTCACTCGATGCGAGAAGATGAAGCGGCTGCCAGCAGGGGAAGGATGCTGAAAAACATGCCTCCGTTTGGCCAGCTGCAGAACCTGCACACGCCTGGGAGAGCTCTGCATAGCAAACATGGAGCTGCCAAGCCAGAGGCTGTCAGCAAGGGAGTCATCCAGTGCAACACCAGTTCTTTGCTGAGGGACACAGAGCCAAGTCTGAACTCAAGGTGTGGGGTTCTGCCAGGAACAGTCACATCTATGCCATACTTCTCCCAGCCCCCTTCTGCCTTCCTGCCTCTCATGGGGAAAGGGCTGAGCTGTTAGGCTGCCTGAAGTGAAGATGCTGCCTCATGGGGCTTGTAGAAGCAATGGCTAGAGGAACCTCCACTTGTCAAAGATGCAGCCTCCTGTTCTGCCCTCTGTGCCTCACTGGGTCCTCTCTCTTTGATAGTACCTATGTCTCTATTGAGCTTGTAGTCCACAGCAGGAGCCAAGGGATGCACTGTAAGGGGAGGAGAATGCTGGCACAAAAAAAGGGGCATGTCTCTGCTCTCATTATGACAGGGTTACAGGTCAAAGGAACATACTTGTATTAAAATCTGGGGCCTGTTTTCCAGAAATGCTCATGGAGAAGAGTCAGTATTTGCTGACCAGACTGCTGCGTCTTTTCCTTTTGGGGTTTGCTTTGGAGGAGATGATTGTATGTTGGTAGTGGCCCTGGACTAGACTCTTGATGAAGAGCAGAGCAGGAGTAGGAGTAATATACCTGTCCAGGGCTGGGTGTCCTGCCTTGCTGCTACCTCCACAGCTACTGCAAGGCACAGGGAACCTCGAGGAGGACTTCTGTCCCTCTACTTTTGAGGGAGGAAACAGAACTCGCCTCCTCTTACTGTTCTGCCTATGATGACTCATGTTCTCTCCCCTGCCTCCCATAGGTGTGTGGAGACAGAGGTTCTGAGGGTCTCTGCTGCAGAGAGGTCACTCTGACACTGCAGTGGAGGTACAGTTTCTGAGCCCTTACTGCCCACCAGTTGCTTAGTGACATTTCTGGACATGGCCCCAGTTCTGCAGTGGAGGAGCAGGAGGTGGCTCCCAGCAGAGCCAAACTAGCAGCTCTTCTGCCCCTCCACTAGGCGCTTCCATCCCTCTATGATCTGCTGCACGGCTTCATGGTCATCCAGGGTGGTGAGGTCCCCGAGCTCGCTGGCCTTGCCTGCCGCGATTTTCTTTAGCAGCCGGCGCATGATCTTCCCCGAGCGTGTCTTGGGCAGCCGGCGTGTGACCTGTGGTGGGAGGAGCAGAGCTAAGGCTGGGGGAAAGGGGCTGGCCAGGCTGCCGAAGCGGGCGTTGGGCCAGCCTGCCCGTGTTACCTGAACGTACTCTGGAGCCGCGTACTTGGCGATCTTCTTTGAGATCAGCTCCCGTAGCTCAACAGCAAGGGTCTCCTGCGTGTAGCCACTGTCCTTCTTCAGCACAACAAATGCATAGGCTCCTGGCAGAAGGACCACCAGGTTACTGAGCACCATGTGCAGGATGCTCTGTAGCCAGAGCTGTAGGTGCTTTTGGCCATGGTGCTGCTGCTGCCACCCTATGCAAAGCCCAGCTGGCCTCACATGAAGGTTGTGGTGGCTGTGCTGAGATCCCCACTAACATGCTGCATGGCATTGGCACAGTGTTGGCACCAAGGGTCAGTATGACAGCACCACTTGCCACTGCAGCACAATAGGCCTGGGAGAGACGTTTCAGGGGCAGGAAAGCGTCTTACCTTCTCCTTTGATCTCGTGTGGGTAGCCAATGACAGCAGACTCTGCCACTGCCACGTGGTGATTCTGGAAGAGAATGGGGCTGGGGTTCGTCTCAGTGCTTCTGGTGGGCTGGCTGCCACCTGGGAGCTGCCCTGACCCAGCTTGACTGCTGCAGCTCACAGTTATGTGGAAAGATAAGGAAGGGCCTCAGATGGCCTCTGCCCTTGTCCTCCTTGCCTCATGAGGTCTGTCTACAAACAAGTCTTCCCTCCTAAGCCTGGTTGCTTTAGGCTTGCACCTTCTAGACCTTGTTCTGTGCCTTCAGGTTGCCCCTCTAGGTCTTTCAATTTTTACTGGCCCACGATGCTCCTCCTTAACATGCCCAGCTGCTGCTTTGGAATTCACCTGCTTACAGCATCGGCCTTACCAGCTTTGTCCCTCCCTTGAGAACCAGAGTGGGAGAAGGTGGGAAATCGTTCCCACAGGCAGGCTCTGTCCCCAACACTGTTCCCAGCTGCTACAGCAGCAGTGTCTTTCTGTCCAGGTGGTTCAAAGAGGCTTCCCTGAATGCCACCAGCGTGCCTTCACTGTCCCCTCACATGGCTTTACCTCCCACCCACAGCTCTTACCACAATGTCCTCCACCTCTGCGGTGCCCAGCCGATGTCCGCTGATGTTAATGATGTCATCCAGCCGTCCTGTCAGCTGGTAGTAGCCCTCACTGGTACGATACACGCCGTCCCCAGTGAAGAAGAACCCTGTGGTGTCCAGAACCATGCCATGGTCGCTTGTTGCAGTGAACATGTGAGCTGCTTCCAGCTCCACTCTCACCTCCCTCCTTCTCTCTGTTGGCACCAGGGTTCATGCACTCCGCCCCTTCCTCGGCTGCTCTGGGTGAGCGGTTGTTGGAACCTTCCTTGTTAGTCCTCTACCTCTGTTGGCACCTACTCTGTCATCAGGCTCCTCCCCCCATTCTGCAGTGTGCTGGCTGGTGCCCAGGCTGCCTTATCACAAGCTGGGAGCACTTTGAGCCAGTGCCGGTGCCTCTGGTCCTGCCGCTTCTCCCCTTTGCTTCACATCTAGACACGCACTCCTGGGCTTGCTCGGTGCCTCTGAGCAAGTGACAGAAGCTGACAGGGTTTGCAAGAGATGCACCATGAGGTGTCTCTGTGCTTCAGAGGACTGGGAGCAGAAGACAAATCCACTGCCTAAACCCATGTGATCCAATGGGGAAGGTGGGTGAAAGACCCATTTCTAGGGCAGTGCAGAGGTATTCCCAGGGCATAGGCAGATGGGCATCAACACTCTGGAGGGTCTGTGGAAGAATGAAGCTGCAGTACCAGCTCTCCCGAGTCGCACCTCCATGCAGAAAACCAGCAGGCAGACACAACCATACACAACCAAACACCTCTGCGGTGACCTGCCATTAATTTTCCCTACCTGGATAAGGAATCAGATAGGTTTCCAGAAATCTCTTGTGGTCATTGTAAATGGTTCGTGCCATACCTGGCCAGGCTTGTGAGATACACAGGGCTCCAGAGATGTTATTTTCCAGCAGGACATTTCCCTGTAAAATAGCTACCTTTTAGTAACCATGGCTGAGGTGCTTGGATGTTTAGTCGTTTCTTATTTAACAACCCTGTGATGGCAATGTCAGGGAAGGCTGTGAGGTGCTGTGCTCCCAACTCCAGTGGGATAGGCTCAGTCTCTCCCAGCAGATGTCTGCAAGCAGCTGCCCACTGTGGTGGGATGCAGGGCCCCTCCAGGGAGGCTGGCTGTCCTTGCCCAGCTACCTCACCTTGGAAAGATGTGCCAGGAAGCCCAAGCACAGACCATCTTGTCAGGACAAAGCAAGCTAGAAAACGGTGCAGCTTCTGCACCAGCTTCACTGGTAGTCTCTTTCCAGTAAAGAAGGTTGCTGTCTAGCAGGGACGAGCAGGAAAGACACACTTTCAGAGCTCTGTTCCCATCGGTAAGTACACACTACAAGTGCCTGGGGGAAAGTGGGCTGAGCCAGTGCCTGGGCTGCAGGTTATAGATGTACCTTGTCATCCAGGAGGGAGGGGCTGATCCCAAAAAAGGGTCTCATAGCCATGCCTGGAAGGATTTCAGCTCCAGGATCAGAAGGACGGGGCGAGATACAGATGCCTCCTGTTTCTGAAGCAAAAGAAACAGTGATGCTCATCAAAGTCAGGGACAAGAGGAAAGCAAACAGCCTTTGCCCTGGCCCTCGCTGCACCCTGCTGGAACAGAGGCTGAGGCTGGGTTTGCCAGAGAGCTGGGGAAGGCTCTTTGCAGAAGGATGATCCTGCTCATTTAGTTCAGCAGAGATCTGCTCTCTAACATCAACTCCTCTGGGTTGGCTTTAAAGGCCACTTCTCTTTTTTGTGTTTTGGTGCCCATGGCCCCTTGCGGCATCACTTATACAAGCGTGTCGGTGACAATGATTCCCACTTGGCCAGCAAAGCAGCAGGTCTCTCCTAAAGCCTGAGAGAGCACACGCTGGAAGGAAGGGTTGGATGCATCTCACCGGTTTGCCACCAGGTGTCCACTACCGGGCACCGTGTCTCACCGACCACGCGGAAGTACCAGTCCCACGCCTCCTTGTCGATGGGTTCCCCCACTGCAAGGGGAAAAACAGTGGGAGAGAGCTGAAAGATCAGGTCAAAGAGAAGCTTCCCAGGGCTGGCTTGTGCAGCCACCCCAAACAGCTCAGTGTCCCGCCTTTCCCTTCTCGTGTGCTGCTGCTCTTGGCGTTTGTGGGAAGAGGCACAACCTGATGCCCAAGGATGTGCTGCTCCAGCCCGTGCCACCAGCAGTTACCTGAGCCGAGCACTTTGAGAGAAGAGCG